TCCCATTTCTCCATCTCGCCTTTTAAAAGAAGTTATATTGTGTGTCTGTCAGTGTTTTATTAGATGGAACTAGGCTGAAGTTTCTCACATCTGAATCCTGTTTGACTTTCTCCCTATTAACGGTTTGTCTATTTATACTGTTAACATGGCTGACGAATTAATTCAAACATTGACACTATGATTTAGAAATAGATTTTTTTTTTCTAAAGATAAACAAAACATAAACCAGACGCATATGCCTATAAGCTCTTATTGAGCATGAGCTAATATTATTTGCATTATGCCATTATAAGCAGAAACCCCATGGTTTCTCAACTGATCAGATAATTACTTTAAAACAGCAAGAAAGTTTACAGACAGTAGTACTGTTATGGTCACAGGCACAGTTCCAATAACACTAATAAGGACACTTAAGATACATTTCTAGCCCTCAGGTGGTCTTCATTTGGGTGCACCTTTTGTTATCTTCCCGGTCAGAAGTGACCGGACACCTAAAAATGAAACTTCCTCCATCCCAGTAAAACCAATGCAATTTATTTTTGTTCTATAATGTTTTTTTTTTCTTTTTAATTTTGTATTTTGAGAGAATTTTAAGTTACTTATTAATATTTATGCAATATTTATGGTCCATTTTTGCCATTAAAAATAATTCCATTTCCCCCCCCCCCAATTTTTTTACAATATTTCTTCAATTATTGCAGTATTTCAGATTAATATACAGGCCTTTTAAATCCATTTTTTAGTCATACTAGCGCCATCTGTTGAATGTATTTTTTTTTTAATTCTCAAATAATACTTTTTGCCAAGGTTTATAATTTTTTTTTTAAAATAAGTTTGATGTGAAGTGTACACGTTTTTGCATTATTGCTACAGTCAAACCTGAATACAGAGAAAGCATTTTGTTACAGGTAACATTACAATTCAATAAAACAATAAACAGTAATGCTTTATTAAAGCTTATTATTATTTATATTATTTATATTTTTAAACATATTAATTATTATTTAATAATTTTAATTATAATTATATTAATTATATATATATATATATATATATATATATATTAATTATATATAATTATTAATTATGTTATTTTTTTCACTATTGATGTTTTAGAGTTTCACCCCTTCATTGCTGAGCACTTTTGTTTCTCCATCGTGGCCGATTTGTAGAGAATTTTTGTGTTTTTGTCAATTTCCCGTTCATTCATATGGTCGGTCATTTTTGACAGAAGAGCACAAGTGTGACAAATTTGTGTACGACCACTTAGCCTGCTCGAATCATGCCTTAATTTTTTGTGTGTGTTCATATACCTAATGTCATAAAAGTCACCAAGTTTCGTAACATTCAGATGAAGCTGTGATTTAAAAAAATTCAAAACAGATTTTTTTATTTTATCACAATTCATTGGTGTGTATGTGTATAAAAGTGTGTTTGTATGTGTGTGTGTGTGGGGGTGAGTGTGTCTGTTTTGCACTCTTGATGTTTAGAGTGTCACCCCTTCATTGTTGAGCACTTTTTTCTGCATCGTGGACGATTTGTAGATTGTACATTAGGTAAAAAAATGACCGACCATAGGAAATGAATGGGAAATTGACAAAAACACAAAAATTAAATTTTTGTGTTTTTGTCAATTTCCCATTCATTTCCTATGGTCGGTCATTCTTGACCGAAGAGCACAAAAGGCACTATTTTTTTTACGACCACTTCAACATTCCGATGAAGCTGTGATTTAAAAAAATTCAAAACAGAAAAATTTTCGGTCAGAAATGACTGAAGAGCACCTGAGGGCTAGGGAAGAAAGATGCCCAGGGTCCCTGCTGACTTGCGTGAACATGCCATATAGGGAGGCATGACGAGGACTGCAAATGTGGCCTGAGCAAAGCAATAAACGGTAATGTCCGTAATGTAAGACACCTAAGATAGGGCTACAGGGAGACAGGAAAGACAGCTGATTGTGCTAGCAGTGCCAAACCACATGCATGTAACAACATGGCCCTGGAAGAGTGGAATAACATCTCACAGCAAGAACTGGCTAATCTGATTCAGTCCATGAGGACGAGATGCATTGTAGTACTTAAAGGGATAGTTCACCCAAAAATGAAGATAAGCCCATGATTTACTCACCCTCAAGTCATCAAATAGGTGTATATGACATTCTTCTTTCAGACGAATATAATCAGAGTCCTGGCTCTTCCAAGCTTAATAATGGCAGTTTCTGTTTTGAAGTCCATAAAAGTGGATCTATATCCATTATAAAAGTGCTCCACATGGATCTGGGGGGTTAATAAAGGCCTTCTGAAGCGAAGCGATGGGTTTGTGTAAGAAAAATATTCAAATTTAACACGTTACAAAGTAAAATTCTAGCTTCCATCCAAATGGCCATACGCAGTCTACTTGCGCCTTATGCGCAACTTACCGGTACACAACTTGTGACATCGGAAGTAGCGTAGTGCGTCATGGCGTAGCGTGAATATTGTTTACTTTATAAAGTTTTAAATATGGATTTTTTTTTTACACTAACGCATCGCTTTACTTCAGAAGACCTTTATTAACCCCCCGGAGCCGTGTGGAGCACTTTTATCATGGATGGATGCACTTTTATGGACTTCAAAACAGAAACGGCCATTCCATTACAAAGCTTGGAAGAGCCAGGACATTTTTTTTATATAACTCCCATTGTATTCGTCTGATAGAAGAATGTCAGTAATCGTGGGCTAATTTTTATTTTTGGGTAAACTATCCCTTTAAAGCAGTTGGTGGCCAAACCTGATACTGGGAAGTCTGGTTCTTTTCAGCGAACTGGTTCTTTCGAGCAGTTCGTTTCATTGAACAGGTTAAAAAAAAAACGATTCACCTGACTTACTTTTGCTATTGACCCAAAACATATATACATTTTTTTGAAGAAAGGAATGGACCCCTATTGCTTAATCCTTCACTAACCTTACTAATAGGCATTCTTTGTAATCATAAATTTGTTCGTGCAACTCACCAGGCATGTGGAACTCCCCTCCAGCTAATAGTTGAGATGTGAATTGCAATCTTCAGCAGATTTTTCTTCAGCTTGCATCTGAGTTGAGCCCATGTAAATTTGCTATGAACAAAAACAAACACCCTTTTTTTGCAGTCTGTCTGATTCTGCCCTTGCTTTGTTTTGCTTTTATTTGTGCGGGAGTCTGCATTAATTTCCTCGGAAGTCGCTCTCTTTTCACTTTCAGGGTTATTTAATTTTTTCTTGTTTGTTTGTAAAATATAAGAATTATACTTAAGAATAAACCTCACTTGATTGAATTTATTTTTTATTATTTATTTATTTATTATTATTTTTTTTTTTTAATAATCCATCCATTCTTAAAATTGCTTGTCCTACACTCAAAAAAATAAAACCTTCAAACCTTTCTATTAAAATGTTTTTACAGCATTTTAAATCAAATAAAACAAAACAAAACTTAAAAACTTTTGACTGGCAATGTAGTTCTTTATATATTTAAATAAAGAATAACAATAACAAGAAGCCAGGACACACAAAAGATAAAGTTTATTTATGCACATTTTAGGATACAAAATTAATTACAGCTAATGACATTTACCCTTTTTCTATCCTCCATCAAAGTAGCATTTAAAAGGGAGCATTTGTTTTCACCTTGGAGTAATTTGTAAAGAATTTTAAGGGACTTGCACTTTTACACTGATAAAACACTGATAAATGTTCTGGCTCAAAAAAAAATATTTTAAATGTTATGTGTTATATAATAATAATAATAATAATAATAAACTTTCTCATTTTGTTTCTCATCACACAATGGAATGCACATAATCCATCTGACACTAGACACAAACAACTGATTCATGCAGGATTTAAAAAATTGAAAGCTCAACAAAATAACTACTAAGCATAATTTGAGCGGACCAATTCATAGCCAAACATTCCTTTAAAACATTTCATACTTTGATTCACGCCACAAAGTTAATCTGGTGGACATTTCAGAAAGTGGTCAGAAAATTGCAAATCAAAGCAGATTACAAGATTGAACGTAAAATTATAGCACAATAGTTCTTCAAGACAATCTTTAGCCTATGATTATTATTTTAGTGTTTCATTGTTGGACATCAGGGGCCTCATTTATAAAAACGTGCTAAAATCCACTGCAATGTTCAGATTTATAAAAATGATCTTGTGGCGGAGTCAGGGTACAGGTACGACGCTTTTGCCAAAGCGTACATATCCTACGCACATGGCACCCTTTAGCGTAAATATGAGACGCAGATATATATGGGGCAGAAGGCGCCTCCTAGTGGTCTAACCCTAACCCTACCCCAGACCTAAACCTACCCATACTCTGTGCGTGTTATATTTACGCTAAAGGGTGCCATGTGAGTAGGATATGTAGCCTACGCTTTGGCAAAAGCGTCGTATATGACGCCTTGGGATGAGAACGCGTTGGTAAATCTAAGCAATTCTTGCAGTTCGCTATTCTCAAGTAAAGGATTAGGAAGCTGACTGTTGCAAATAACATTAATTAGGGAGCGTTTTCTAGATTTTTCTTGATTTCACATGTGGAAGAGAGGCGTACGCGCGTTTGTTGTGCGTACGTACGTAGGCCTACGTACGTTCTCTGAATCACACCTATACTCACATTTCAGAAATGAACTTGATCAAATGTAACATTTTATAAATGAGGCCCCAGCTCTAGCTGTTGCACAGATTATATTGTAGTGTTTCTAACGTGAATTCCACAGAAATAAGTAAATACTGAACAGCGTTGCTCCCTCGTTTCATTGATTGCATTGAATAGGCCTACTTTTCTTTGTAACAGCTACATTGTAAACAAAGGCATACAGGCAAACAGGTTGCTGTTTAAGTTTTAGACCCCATGCAGCTGATTCAAAACACAAAGTGGTCTATATATGTTCTGTTTCTAACCTCATTCTTGTTGAATTAAACACAGTCAAGGAGTCTTTGCGTGAGCATGAAGAAAACGCTTTGCTCCCTTTGGATCTTTTTGTAGTGGTTAACATGAGTTTATAAATGTGCAAAAGAAGAGAAAACCTCACAGGGGCCCTTGTAAAGACAAACGAGAGAGGAGAAAGGAAAAGGCGAGAAATGGTAAAAGAGCAGCAAAACGAAGAGTTGGCACATTCTTTGTAGTGTTTAGGGTAAAAGGCACAAAAGAAGACGGATCAGACATGGGTGAGGAAAGTGAATTTGGCCCCTGGTGTGTGTGTGTGCTGCTGGATTGGTCTCAGGTGATCACACTGGGGCCTCTGCTTCCAGTTCGTTCGTGGATGTTGGAGATTTTTAGAGCAATGGCAATGAGAGGACCCAGCACAACCTACAACGGTCAAAGGAAGGGCTTGTTAAACAGACTGCCAGTATCATGAGACAGTAGCATGAGTGGCTGCATTAAACTGTTTTAAAGGGATAGTTCACCCAAAAATGAAAATTGTCATTACTTACTCACCCTCAAGTTGTTCCAAACCCTTATGAGTTTCTTTTTTTCTGCTGAACACAAAAATAAGATATTTTAAAGAATGTTGGTAACCAAACAGTTGATGGGCCCCATTGACTTGCATAGTATATTTTTCCTATGAAAGTCAATGGGTGCCTTCAATTTTCTGGTGACCAACATTCTTTAAAATATCTTATTTTGTGTTCAACAGAAAAAAAGAAACTCATACAGGTTTGGAACAACTTGAGGGTGAGTAAGAAATGACAAAAATACTTTTTTTTTTCCTTAATAAAGAGTCGCCTTAAATTAACATTAAAATACTCACTGTTTTAATAGTGCAGCCAGAAGACTTGAACATTATGCATGTTAACATGATTTTAGTGTGAAAGAGGTACTTAATAACTTTTTCTCTGTAAAGTTACAATCAATTTTACAACTTTACTGCCATGACAACATAACACCTCAAACCCTAAAACTACTGTACAGCTCAAACAATACACAAGTTTTAACAGAAGAATACGTGAGTACTTTTATAAAAGCATAAGCTTCACGTTTATGCTTTTAAAACATACACAATTTGGCCATTGTAAGTGCATCACTGTAACTTTGATTTCTACTTTAAGAAAACGAGGGATGAGTCAAAATCCTTTTTATGGCAAAAATGCTGTCGACTGAACTGAACCTGGAATGTTTCTTTAAAGTGCCCTATTATGCTATTTTAAAGGTTCCTAATTTTGTTTGGGAGGTAACCTAAAGGTTTACATGCATTCAATGTAAAAAAAACACTTTAATATTCTCATAAAATACATTGCAGCATCACATCTTTTCTCACAGTGTCTGAAACAGTTTGATAAATAGCCCCTTTTCCACTGTCGGGCCAAACCGTTCTCTTTGCTTAACCGTTCCATATATGGATTCGATCTCTCTGACCCCTCCTTTCTGACAGCCAACTCTGCTCTGCCTCTGATTGGTCAAATGATGATAATAAATGACCTTTTCCACATACAGTAGATGATGACATATCACTTGTATACAAGCAAAACAAAAACAAATTAACTTATCAATAACTGATATGTGTCAAAAAAATTCTATAACAGATTTATATGATGTTATGGCAGCAATGAAGCACATTATAATTAATAAATATTGCTACACAGATGGAAGGTTTCTCTTAGACTTACCTATTAAGTGTGATGTTTGTTTAGGCTTTTGTTATCATTGCATAACTAAACTGTAGCTAAGCTTTTTTTATTTCTTCCGAAGCACTTTGGCAGTGCACTGGTTCATAAGCACAAATCAGTCCTGCTGAGCTTTTACAGCAGTGATGCTGTGTTAAACTAGAGTGAAGTCTTCACCTGAGTCTCTCTGCTGTGTCTCTCTGGGTCTCTCTCGTAGCTCTCAGCGTAGATGCGGATGGTGGCCCCTGTTCCGGCCCCAGAACCACTGAGCCGGAAGATGATTCGGGACGAGTCTGTGAAGATGATCCTTAGGCCCTGCAGGACAAGTGCAGAAATAGAAATGCAGCTCATTTTAGTGCTAACAATTCTGATTAATCATAAAGTTGCTTTTTTTTTTTTTTTTTTACCTTTCAACCTTCAGTTACCAGCCAGAATCATTAACTGGTGTCGGGTGTAATGCATTACTAAGTGATTCATTACTGTAATTTAATTACTTTTCCCTTGAAAAGTAAAGGGATTACTCTTAATTTTGTCTTCTGATGTACGTAACTGCATTAAATACTGTATAGACTAAAACAATTCTATAGTGGATTTAATCAGTATTTACCGTCTAATGTTACCGCTATGTTTCTAATGTAACCTCCCTTCAAGAAGTCACTTCAAGAATAATTTATGCAATTTTACATTACTTATTTGATAGAATTAAAAAGAGCAGTTTCATGTCTACCCTTTTTTTTTTGTATAACTGGTCGAGGTTGATTTAGAAAGTAATAAGTAATGCAGTACATATTAGAACAGTAATCTAATTACACTGTTGAAGATGTCATTAGTAACTAGTAAAACAATAAATTTACTAGTAAAACACAAATAAAACTGTATGTGAAAATGTCAAACATTCAACATGGCACATTCACATTCCTCGGCAGCTCTTATAAAATGTAATTTTATGAAAGTACAAGCTCTACTATTTGGATTTCCCAAACAGCAACACTTGTAGTTCATAATAATGTCCACTAGATGACAGGGAAAACTTTTTTCCGAGCCAGATCCAATTGGACAACTGCTCAGCAGTGGAGGAGTGACATGTAACAATAAAAAAAAAAAAAAAAAAAAAGAACAATAACTACACAGAGACAGCAAGTGAGATGAAGAGTGAGTGAGAAGTTTAGTTCTTATTAGGTGAAAAGTAAAAACAAGTGTGTCTTGTAAAAAGTTTCTCCCTTGACCACAATAGAGCTCTTTAAAAAACATATTTTTTGTTGTTGATGTCAAATGCTGTTCATCCAGT